CAATGGAATAACTAAAATGTGGTAAAATGGAGTTCTACAGTTCAGAACTAAAATTAAATACAAGGCTGAAGAATTGTTCCCACAGTCATGAGTGCACAACGGTAGAAGGTACTGAATCAGTATGTCATACAGTTAAGGGAGTGTTAAATGTCCGAGCAGCGAGAAAGAAGTTCCAGATTAGTTTACACTCTTGTTCTCATCCCAAAATGAACAAAAAAGTTAACAAAATAGACACAGCTATCTGACCAAAACGAAAAGAAAGGCAAAGAATGATTAAAACTTTCAAGAATCAGTATCTGAGCTGTGTAAGAAAAATAAATAAATCTCGAAAGAACTCTTCCCAATGAACTATCTGGCCACATAACCAGGCATTTTGTAGTTTTGGAAGGAGAAATTATAGATAAACAACTATTATCCGACCGATGTTTTTCATTAAATGAAATTAGAACAGGTATAACATCCCTAAATTGCACGCATTTTTCTCTCGCTGTTTTGTCGAAGGTAAGTCTGTAAAATCAATATGGGAGTTGAACCCGAAACATGATTTGATTCGAAATAGTCCACTTTGCTGGCTTCAAATTAATCGGAAAAGCTCAATTCCGAATGAATTTAATCAAGGCATCAAAGTTCAACATGTGCTCAACGCCAAAGATCTACGACTTCGTATATCCAACAGATTTCAGTCAATGTAGACAGAGATGGAGAGCCCAAGTTAAATTGTTCAGTACAGAGAAAATATCATGAACCGTTTTTTCTTCCACGATTCAATTTTGACCAAGAACATCTCAGCAATTCCGAACATCCAGCTGATGACGGTAGAAAAAAAAAATTTGAAGTTTCGGATAATAGAAAAAATCAACGCAAGAAATTCGGGGACCCAAAAAACATGAGCTCAGACCGATGAAGAAAATACGCGGAAACAGAGAGGAGAAAGAAGACCTGCTGGATATCACGGTCGGCATTTGCATAGCTAGAAGGATCTGCCATTCCATGTGAAAAAATCGCCAAAAGACCACCACCCACTCTGATCACTCCACCGTTCACCGGTCATCCTATACGGCGACTAAATCTTCCGTACACTAACATCAACGGTCACATCAGGCCCACCGCAGAGCTCTCTCTCTCTCTCTCTCTTTCTCTCTCTCTCTCTCTAAAACTCTCTGACAAACAAAAACAAAATTTCACATCTCCCTCCCCCTCGTCCTTCCCCAAAAGCTTCGTAGATCTGTCACGCTCCTTCGAAACCAAAGTCCTAGAAACTCCATCCGAAACACAGAATCAAAAACATCCTCATACCTCGGCCTTAAACTCTTGAAATGAGAAGCAAAAACTGAAATACAGCCTCCAAAGCGGTTTCTCAGAAAACAAAGATGGCTTCACAGCAAAGAAACCGCTTCCGACGGCGACAAAAAAACCAGTCCTGGAAGCCGCCAGTGACGGAACAAAGCGAAAACCGGCGGAGGAGACAAGGAGTCTAGAGAGAGAAAAGACGTAGTCGGAAGTCTGTAAAAGTACAGAGTCAAAGACGGGAAAAAGAGAAAACCAAATAAACCCCCCAAAAAATAAATTAAAAATAAAAAGGAAATGTATATTATAAATAATTAAATATTTTTAAAAAAATACTATTTTTATTCGTTATATTCTAATTTTTAATACAAAGATTTCTCAGCTTCTTCCATTTAATTTATTTAAGGAAAATTACAGATTTAATTTTCAGTATTTACAATTTAATAAAAACCCAAATCAAATATTTATATTTTAATGCAGTTGACCGTCGACATTTGAATGTTTGACTTTCAGATTATTTTCAATAAAAAATTTAAATCTTCCGGTCAATTTTTTATTTAAATTTTATAATCATGTCGATAAAATTTATATGTTTACATTTTTTATGCCAATTTATGGAATTTATAATTCTTTCTATTAATGTATTTTCTTAATTTTCCTTTTTATTTATTTAAAAAAGGCAATGTAATCATCGTTTTCAATGTATAATAAAATTTATTTAAAATTAAAATTAAATATTTATTTAACAAGATAATTTTGATTTATTTCCGTCAGCAAAGACATTATTGTAAAATTATGCTTTCAAAAAAAATAATTATTTGAAAATTATAAATAAAAAAAAATTAATAACTACACCTGCTTGAAATATAGACCATAATAATTTAATTATTATTGAAATATTATACGCATTGAATGGGAAAACTTTTTTTAAGTTTTTTAAATGTAATCTTTTTTAAAATATAGTAAAATTAATTTGAAAACCTCCCTACAACTTTTTTTTAAAATATTAATATATTTACTTTTATTATTTTAGGTAATTAAAAAAATATCTTGTAATTGATTTATTATTATTTTAAATTATAAATATATATATTTTAAAACGCATAAACTTTATATTAAAATCGAAGACTATGGTTATTAATGTGAATGTTACATTAGAATCTTATAATAAGAATAATAACATGACAAAAATTATAATAGCAATAATAGCACGTGATTAGTGGAGCATCATTTTAACTTGTTCTATAAGCAATAACTATAATTCCTCGAGAAAAGAACAAAAACTACACATGGAAAATGGGTTTTTATTTTTATTATTTAATTCAAATATTTAACCATATATTTCAATTATCTAAATTATCGATAATAATAAATGTATACGTATCAAAAATAATAAATTAAAAAAACCGTCATAAATATATTTGAGAATTTTTTATTCACCCGCTCTAGAACTCACGGCAAATAAAATAAATATTTCTAAATAAGATCTTAAATGGCTCTAGTAAGTGAAATTCACAGTGACCGACCGACCAAAAAGATAAGAATGTCGATAGAAATGAAACGTAGAACGATAAAAAGGGAAATGAAAAGGAATAAAAGGTAGGTAGGGGGCAGCAGCAGCTTCCAAGGGCTAGCTTTGTGTAGAAGAAGCCAAATTTAAAAGAGGCGAGGGCCCGTTATAAACCTCATCCTATCGATTTGACTTAATTACACAACAAATTATTTAACGACTCGTCACAGTTAAATAGTACGTTAGATATTTTTACAATTTTTCTCTCGTAGAAAATGATCGAATTCATTATAATGACCTCCTTAAATAATATACGATTAACTCTATATTTGTTTTTTTTTTTTCTCGATTTCTTTCCGTCTCATTTCATCAGTTTATATAAAATATTCTCGAGTATTCCAATTTTGCCCTTTTATTTTACCATTTTAAAGGTGATTTTTTTTTACTAATAATTATAGTAATTTTAAATACCATGAATATAATTTTAAGTATTTCAAACTTATTTGATAAATATGTTTTAAATAATTCAAATATTACCCTCCACAAATTCATTAGCTTTTTGTCCACTTTCACAAGAAAAAGGCAGAAAAAGCAAAAGGGACCCACACCCATTTATCTATGACTAAAACACATGGCTTTTAAGAGGAACAAAACTCGATGGGCCTTGAAATAGAGTGAATTATGAGATCCCACATTAGTTGAAGAGGAGAACAAAGCATTATTTATAAGAGTGTGAGAACCTCTTTTTAATAGATGTGTTTTAAAAATCTTGAGAGGAAGCTCGAAAGGGAAATGTCAAAGTGAATAATATCGGTTGTCAGTGGGCTTAGACACATAGTCGAGTTGGCCCAGATCCACTACTATAAAATATTGTCCTCCTTAAGTTTTCCCTTATCGGGTTTCTCCTTAAGGCTTTAAAACGAGCATGTTTAAATGTGAGACATCACAATCCTATATGATTTCAAGAATTTTTCTTATGGATAAAATTAGAGTGAGAGGACAAGCCCGAACTACAAAGGAAATCAAATATAAACTAAATAGGAAAAAGCCAGGGACAAATTAGGGTGCACACACAGAAAGACCAGACTAGGAGGTAAACGAGAAAAGAGAACAACTTCTCAATCTCTCGAGGGGCATAACCCTAAAATGAGTAGTCCGTGAGTTTATAGTAAGAAACATCATCTCTCGTACAAAACATTTAAAGAGGGCCCTATTTTTTGAGATGCCTACATCATTTATGTTCCTGACATATGTGTTCACAAATTTTACTTTTGGGATTGAAAAAAAAGGTCCTAAGTTGTTACGGTTGTTTTTGGGTCGAACCACATTTTGGTAATCATTGGTAATAATATTCCAATTGATATACCCATATGATTAACCAAAAAAGCCATCTTTTTTTTTCTTTTTTTAATTTTAAAATGTTTTAATAAGAAAGAAAATTAAAAAAAATATATATATTGTATAGTTTATAGATTAAATAAAAGCAAACTTTTACCCTGACGTTGACCTTTGACCCAAGAGAAAGAAATATATTTTAATTGCCGATTTATTTATTTATTTATTTCTCAACACAAGATCTATCCCTTTGCTAATAATAAATTTTGATGTTAAATGTCTTTATTTTCAAGCGGCTAATTACGATTCTACCCCCAAATCTAGTTCGCATTTAAAGTCCCAATTAAAAAAAAAAAAAAACAATTCTTAAGATCTACTCAAATATAAATAATAATATTTATTTCCATCCCATAAAAGAAAATCTAAAACTTTTTTATTTTAATTTTAAAGTCCTAAAAATTAAGATTAATAATTTTTAATAACTTTATTGTTGGTGTGGTGGAGCTTACCTAATTATCAATTAAGCTTACCTAATTATGAATTATGCTCTCATCAAATCAATTAAAGATTTAGCAAATCTAATTTTAAATTTAATTTATTTTTCCATTTTTAAAATGTAAAAATATTTAATAAAATACTGAAAGAAAGCTCAAATTCGAGTTCATGAGACTCAAAGGCCCAATTTTCGGAATTGAAGAGCCCATGTTTTCGGCCCAAAACATATAACTCAATTCATTAGGCCCAGCCCATAACGATATAAATTACTGATTTATTTCTTTAATTAATATAAATAATTAGCGATTATTTATATGATTAAGGCATGAACCACACAGGTTAAAGCGTTGCGAGGCTGTCCGGCGGCCACCGCGGCAAGGTTTCTGAGTCTCCTTCAATAAAACCAAGTTAATTAGTCGAGGGGTTACTGTATATATATATATTCCGATCATCTTCTCCATTTCCGGCGAGAGCTGAGTGAAATTCGAGAGACTTCCAGTTATGGAAAGCAGACTCTCCGCCGCTCTTGGCCTTCCCCCGCCGGATCCGGTTTGTTATCCTTCTCTTTTCGAATTCCCCACTCTTTTCTCCAACTTTGATTCATTACTCGCCGGTAATAAAGTCCCCAAGGATCGGAATCACTTCCAGTATCCTCCTCTTCCGTTTTCTTCATTGTCCTTATCCACCGAACAGCAAGTTTTCACCCCCAAATCCTCCAACTGGCTGAAACCTCCCTCTAAAAACTCCCCCAAAATTCAATCCCTTATCAAGAATTTATCCGTCCTCGAACGGGCAGTCGTCGGCGCCGCGGGTGGTGCCATGGCTGGTGCCTTCACTTACGTTTGTCTCCTTCCGCTCGATACCATCAAAACCAGGCTCCAAGCAAAAGGGGCTTCGGAGATTTACAAGGGTACATTCGATGCCATTGTTAAGACCTTCCAATCCAGAGGGATTCTAGGGTTTTACAGAGGCGTTTCTGCTGTAATTGTCGGCTCTGCAGCTTCTTCAGCCGTTTATTTTGGAACATGCGAGTTTGGTAAGTCGATTCTGTCGAAATTTGATTGCCCTTCTCTGCTTATTCCTCCAACTGCTGGGGCTATGGGGAATATTATCTCCTCGGCTATAATGGTGCCGAAGGAGTTAATTACTCAGAGAATGCAGGTTGGGGTTAAAGGGAGGTCTTGGGAGGTTTTGATTCAGATTCTTGAGAAAGATGGTATAATGGGGCTTTATGCTGGTTATTTTGCAACGTTGTTAAGGAATTTACCTGCTGGGGTTTTGAGTTACTCTTCATTTGAGTATTTGAAAGCTGCTGTTCTTAGCAAAACGAAGAGTAACAATCTGGAACCGCTTCAGAGTGTTTGTTGTGGAGCATTGGCTGGTGCTATATCGGCCACTCTTACAACACCTCTTGATGTTGTCAAGACAAGGTTGATGACTCAAGTTCATGGGGAGGCTGCAAACATGTACAGTGGGGTGTCGGCTACGATCAAGCAAATATTGCAGGAAGAGGGGTGGATTGGATTAACCCGTGGAATGGGTCCTAGAGTTCTTCACAGTGCTTGCTTTGCAGCTATCGGTTACTTTGCTTTCGAGACGGCAAAACTTGCAATTTTGCATCGATATCTAATGCAGAAGGAGGCTTCAGAATTGGCTTCTGCTTCAACTTGATTAGCATTGTAGCTCAGGTGATCACTAGAACATCTTTATCTTTCTGGTGTGTTAAGTTTTTGATTCATAGTTTGTAACATTTTCATTTAGAATTAGAATAGGGGAAGAGCCCATCAAAGCATGAAATCCTGATTTGATTAAGTAGCTAAAACATCAGAACAATCAGTCAAGCTTTCATTGTTTGTCATCTATCTGAGCACTTGGAGAAGTTGTAGAAAGGATAATCCAATCCTCCACCTTTTGATCTTAAATGGGTCTTCAAGGTCTCTAATTCAATCCCCTGGAAGGTCAGAATTTAAGCATTTAGCAAAGCAATGAACTGCTTACTTAGATTCAACAAGGCACGTGTAGTAAGAAACCTCCAGCTAAAAGTCCTGCCATCACACTGTATATCCACCGAAAAACTAATGTTTTCACTGTTTCTTAAGCTCAAACCGCTGTTTATGCTAAGAGATACGGTAACGGCTCCAAGCCCACTGCTAGCAGATATTGTCCTCTTTTGGCTTTCCCTCTCGGGTTTCATCCAAAGTTTTTAAAATGTGTATGTTGGGAAGAGGCTTCTACACCCTTGTAAATAATGTTTCATTCTCCTCTCCAACCAATGTGGCACCTCACCGATATGCTATCAAGGCCCAAATAGGTTGCCTTACATAGGCTCCAAAGGGGTAATCCTTGTGCACCATGTAGTCTTCTATCTGATTCTTGCTATATACGATTTTTTGCCATAAAGAATTAACATCTCTAAGATATCTTTAGTTAGCACGACCTTTTTGCATTTGATACATGAATTAGAAGAAATCCATCATCTCTGTGAAGTCTATTGTGCACTCCAAGTTGAAATATCAATAGTTATGTTAAGGGAAGAGAAGCAAACCGTATCTGAGATCTCATGTGAAGTAGTGATGGATTGACTAAACTTTCATGTTCTAAGTAAGAATCTCAGTGGTAGGTGTTCTTATTTTCATTTTATATTCTTACCATTGCAGATATGAACTTTTGAAGCCCTTCAGAAGAGTTGAGACCACTAAGAAAACTTCGAATCAACTTCTCGAAGGCAGCTGCGTGAGGTAGGCGATAGGCGTTTTTAAGAGGCTTACTATCTATTACGATGAGTTCTCCCATGTGTATGATGAAGTGATGTTTCTTTTTCAATGTTGGCTTAATTCTTACCTATTATAACATGGAATCTTGGCAGATAATAAGTACTTTTTGTGTATTCATTTGGTAGGAAGCTGATGAATTGATCATATAAAGGACAGTTTGGTTTATGTTATGTTGAATAAGAGTATATCGTTCTGTCTCATGGAGTTCAAGCTTCTAGTTCTTTTGTTCTTGTTTTAATTCTTGTTCTTTGAGTGTAACAAGTTATATCTTTTTTTTTTATTTACAAAGAAAAAAAAAAAGAAATATGAACGAGGAAGGAAATGCTACCCTATGATTTCCCGCTCTCTCGGCCAAACAGAGCAAGCTCAGTTATGGATTATTCGACGTTCTTCTCTGTTCATTTCTTCTTTTTCTTCATCCTTTCCAGTTTCGCCCCTCTTTCCCTTTCTTTCTTGTCCAGTGAAAACTTTACGCTCTCAGGTGACGCCCATATCAGAAACAATGCCATTCTTCTCACTAAAGAACACAGCTGCCTTCCCTTTTCTTCGAATTCCCATTCCGGGGTCGGAACCGCCTTCTACGTAAACCCTTTTCGCTTTCTTGATTTCTCCACCAATTCCACGGCTTCTTTCTCCTCTCGATTCTCCTTCTCCATTGTCCCCACCCCGTTTTGCCCTTTTGCCGATGGAATCGCCTTTCTCATCACCTCCGATACCAAATCTTTCAGCCGCTCTCTTGGGCACATGGGCCTTCCCGACCCGTCTCTTGATTCCCACCTTTCTTTCGTCGCTGTTGAATTCGACACCAATTTCCACCCTGATCTTGGCGACATTAATGACAATCATCTCGGTCTTGATCTCAACTCACCTACCTCTTTGACTTCTGTGGATTTTTGGTCAAGTGGCATTGCTTTGAAAAATGGCAGGAAGATTACTGCTTGGATTGAATACAGGGATGACATTAAGATGATCCAGGTCTGGGTTGGGTATTCCCAGACTCGACCCGCAAATCCTCTTCTGGTTGCGCAGATCGACCTTTCTAAGCAATTTAAGGAGTTTATGTATGTGGGATTCTCTGCTTCCAATGGGAAGGGCTCTGCTCTTTACATTGTTGATAGATGGCTATTTAGAACTTTTGGGTTGGTCCCTTCTTTGAGTCCTGTGGGTGCCATTAACGAAGGAGACTGTTTTATGTGCTCATTGGAGGATTCAAGCACCAATAGCAGTCATGTCGTTGATGCTCGTATGGGGAAGAAGATTGGGGAGACGACCCTTGGATTGGGAGGTTTAGCTGCATTTGTTTGCTGCATTGTTGCAATTGTTGGTTATGTTTTGATAAAGAAGTTTAGAGGTAGAATGTCCAGAGGCAGAGTAGCCCATCTAACCTCTCAAGTTCATATGAACAGAGTTCCAATGAGATTCTCTCTTCAGGAGATAAAGTTGGCTACAATGGGGTTTAATCAGAACAGAGTTGTTGGGGAAGGTGGTTCTGCAACAGTTTACAAAGGGTCTCTCTCTTCCAGTGGAGAAGTAGCCGTTAAACGATTCGAGCGAAGCACGCCAAACAACTGCCAGTGCATTCCTTTCACCACAGAGTTCGCGACAATGGCGGGTAGCTTAAGACATGAGAATTTGGTTCAACTTCATGGATGGTGCTGTGAGGCGAACGAGTTGATGCTTGTTTACGAGTACTTACCCAACGGAAGCCTTGCCGAACTTCTTCACAACAACTCCAATTCACAATTTGTTCTTCCTTGGAAGAAGAGGTTGTCTATAGTTCTTGGGGTTGCTTCTGCATTGACATATCTTCATGAAGAATGTGAGAACCAAATCATTCATAGGGATGTCAAGACCTGCAACATTATGCTTGATGCAGAGTTCAACGCCAAACTAGTGGATTTCGGTCTAGCAGAAGTATACGAACACAGTTCGAAAACAAGAGAAGCAACCATACCAGCCGGAACGATGGGATACCTTGCACCCGAATATGTTTATTCTGGTGTTCCCACTGTCAAATCCGATGTTTACAGCTTCGGTGTGGTAATGCTCGAAGTTGTGTCGGGACGGAGGGCTGTAGAAGAAGACGGGACGGTGCTCGTCAGTTGGATTTGGGATCAATGGGAAGTGGGGAAACTGATTGAAGCATCTGATTCAAGGTTGATGGGAGAGTACAATGTAGTAGAAATGGAAAGAATTCTAATGGTGGGACTTCTCTGTGTGCATCCAAATCATGAAAAGAGGCCAACTGCTAAAGAAGCTGCAAGGATCCTCAAAGGGGAAGCACCACTCCCTCTACTGCCATCAAGGAAACCAAGGGTCAATATCAAGCCTTTTTTTTCCTGATGAAAAAGATAAAGAAAACCCGTGTCAACTATCTCGGCCTCAACGACCCCCAAGAGTCAGTTTAGCTAGCCGAACCATCGATCAAATTTGTCATTGACGCCAATCTCCATTGAATCGTGTATATTGATTTGGTTTCGGCTTTTCGATGTTTGAAATTTTTTATAAACTTTCCTTTTACCTATGAGCAAGGTTTTTAAATGTTGACGGAGATAGAAACATCGAAATATGTATATTATATTCATATTAGTTCATATTAATATGTCAGATTCATTTCTTACTTCATATAGCATCGAAAAACAAATCAAATCTGATATGACTAAATCAAATTTAATCCAAATAACTAAATCAAATCTAATCCTAATTAATAAAAAATCTCGAGCTAACTAAAGGGGTCTTGAAAATTGAATGGGATAGTAAGAGGACGTAATGTTCTTGAAATTGGCCGGAGGAATAGGAATTGGGTATGAAGGCTCCTCCCAATCATAATCATAAATGCTGATTTCTTCACACGGCGGCGGATTGAGGACAGATTCATCAACAGGGTCAGGTGGTGGCGGCGGAGGACTGAGGACAGGTGAATCAAGAGGATCTGGCGGCGGATGATTGGGGCTGCCGGTGAGAAGTTGGACAATGTACTTGAATTCAGCGGGGGTTTTCACGTGAATGATCTTCGGCTTCACCTTGTACTTTATGATCGCCTGGCGGGGAATGGCGGAAGACGGCGGCAGCGGCGGTTTCTTGATACTCGGGGAGTACTTGGAGATTTGGAGTGGTTGCTCCACCCATTTTCCCGGTGGGTAGAAGCCGGAAGAAAATCTTGAAGAACCCATGCGCCTTGGTTTCTTAAACAAATTGGCTGCCTTTGTAGGATGCCATATGGTTATATATAAAAATCCCAATCAAATCAAATCCGAATAAAGTACATCATAAACCCCTCAAACACCCTCGATGCTCCACTTCTTTTTTACGAGCCCTCTTTGAGTCACTTTTTTACCATACCTTAAACACTCACAACTTCTTTATTCGAAATTTGAGAATTCTATTGACATGACTAAATTAAGTGCATAACTCTAATACTATGTTAAGAATCACACGCTCTCATCTTTATTACTATGAAAGACTACTGATTATAGTTTATCTAAAATCATTCAAATTTTACCTTATGTAAATATAGAAAATTTTATCTTTATTTCTAGGATTTTTAGTAAATAATTTACCTTATAATTAAATTTGTGAAATTAATATTGGACTTTTTGATTCCACTATGTTTCTCGGACTTTCAATCACACGACGTGTTGGCACCAATTTGTAGATTTATTATACAAAATGGAGAAGGGAATTCAAGAAAATAAAATAAAATGTGAGTTACAAGAAATGAAATTAGTCGGCGTCGGCGTCGGAGTCTGGAATTTCGGGTCTGTAGTAAAGGCGGGGTGGAGGAGTCTTGAACATGGGCAACGGCGGAGCAATAATATTGTAATCGGAAGAACCCGGCAACGGCATGACTCCCGCCGGCCGGACCGTCGAAGAAGAGGGAGGAGGAGGAGGAAAAGGGTGGTAGGAGGGTGGGGTTTCGGTCTTCTTTTCGACCGTTAGGAGCGGCGGCCGGGGTTTGGTGGCTCCCGGCGGCAGTGGAGGCTTCTTGATATTCCGGGATTGTTTGGAGATTTGGAGTATTTGGGGCTGTTTTAGCGGCAGGGGATCCGATCCAGAACCCGACGGCGGACTTGAAGAACTCATAATTGTTTCCCCTTTCAAAAATTATCATTGGCGGCCTTCTTAAGTTGAATTTTCTCTCTACTTGTTTGACTTTTATATTAAATAATATATATTTTTTAAAAAAAGTCAAAGCTCTCTCTCTCTCTAGGAAAGATTCAATTTTTTTTTTTATGAGATATGAATTAATTTACGTACAATACAATTATGCCATAATTAATGATGAAAATTGAGATTAGTTAATGAAAATCAGGGAAGTTGTCGAAGAAATCTAGCGACGATGCAAAATTATTAGGAGCTATGGAGCTGTCTTGGAAGTAGTGGGTGAGAGAGCTGAGATCAGTTGACGCCGACGGCTGCGTCGGCATGACGGGCAGTAGAAACTCCGGCATCGGCGGTAATATCCCGGTTGGGAAACGACCTACACTCTCCATTCCTTGTTCGGTACTACTCGTTTGCATCGACATAGATATTGATATTGTCTTGGATTGGACCGGATGAGTATCAGGACTATTAGATTGGCAGCTAGTGAGACGTTGGACCAATTCCTTGAATTGGGTAGGATTGGTGTGGATTATCTTGGGGGAGTCGGTGTAGATTATGACAGGGCGGTGGTGCGGTGGTGGTGGGGGGAGCTGCGGCAGCTTTTTGATATTGTGGGAGTGTTTGGAGATTTTGAGGGCGGAGGGGCGGTGGCCATGGAGTTGAAGGTGTTTTCTTTCAGCCATGGTGTTGGGGTTTGAAGAGCGTTGAAAAGGTAATGTATATATAAAGGGTTTAGGTTTGAAAATGTCTTTATAAAACTCATTCAGCAATCCATTGTTTCAGTGTTGAAAGTGTCCAACCCCAAATCTTGGAATACCGTATATGTCATTGTTATGTCCTTGCCACGTCGGATATTTCCATGCTGACCTGTTATATCTGTTTATGTTTTTCATATTTCTTTTCAAAAATAAATACCCTCTATACTTCAAATAAATTTTAAAATTAGTTTATGAGCAAGTTGGATATGTAGTACTTCTATATATACGACCCACACGTGCGAGTATGGACCCATCAGACGAGCTTGCATTCTTCATGGGCCAGCTAGTTGGGCTAGCTCCTCTAGGTTGTAGCTGAACACTCGGAGGTACAACAACTGTTGTGCACCATTTCAAGCATGATGGTCATTTCAATCACATAGTATACATGTTCGTACTCATCATAAATGTAAAGTATTCTTATTCATATGAACATACAATTATGCGTGAGGTCCCTATGTAAACTCGGTATATTAAACTCATATAGCACAATCTCATTCAGTCCTCATATATTAAACTCGATAATATACATGCATAAGCGTTCATAAATCATATCATTCATAACATCACTTAGGGGGGTGTATCATAAAATTTCTCATTTCAATACATATCATAATATGTCATAGTCAAACATATTCATGTCATAGTACATCATAACATATTATAACATAACATAACACAATTTATCAAGCATATCAAACATATGACACGGGCGCCTGCTAGGTCGTGCAAGTCTGCTGAACCGAACTGGATTGCGGGTTGTGGGTTGCTTAACATGCATGGGTCGTGGGTTGCTACAGATGGGTATAGGTGTCCAACTCGAATTTGACCTGTGGATTCTTCTTCCTCGCTTGACTCCTTCAATCTTTCTATCTACTTTTTCTCTCTCTTCTCTAAACCTTTCAACCTTTTCCTCCATCGCTCCTTCGTTCAAATCTCGACCACCATAACCCTCTGTCAACCTTTCCTTTACACCTGTGATGTTAAAAACACTCGTATGACCTGCAATATCACGTCTCGTCGTCGTCGTCATCGTTTATTCAATAATTACCCATGTCTTCACCCACCTAAAAACCCATTAGACATTTTGTACCACTTTTTATCATAAGCTCTAAAATTCAAAAAAAAAAAAAAAAAAAAAAAAAAATCTTCTATTAACACAAACCTATTTAAATGTTGGGATCATAAGAAGAAGAAACAAAAGTCAAAGTGTTTGGGTAGACCACATGAAATTGTCAATTACAATAAAAAAAAACAAAACATATTAAAATGGAGTAGTTTAATATATAGCAACACGTTTTGACCTTATTTGTCAACGAGATTAATTCTAATTAATTCATTTTATTGGTAATTCCATTGCGATTAGAAGATGTCAAATAAGTTAATCTCCAATTAATTTGAATTAAATAAGGTTTAGTAATCAAATTAGGAAGACCCATTGTAGAAGAAGAAGATGGAGTCTTTGCGCGTGACCAGACTTTGACCCACACCACAAAAGTATAGCATAGCGCGTGCATTAACTCTCTGTATTTACTTTCCTTTACCAACCTTCCATAAATGATTCCTTGCCTCTTCCAAGCCTCTCAAGTGGCTGTGGCTGCTGCTGCGCTTGTCTCTCTCGAAACCTCGACTTTGAGGGAGCGTCGGGTGACCCAGTCGTCGTTGCATATCCCGTATGCGTTCATTCTTTAGAACTCGATATAGGACTATTCTAAACGACCCATCTTTCTCTCGAGCATATTACTAGTCTTGGAGAACTCTATCATGGATCTTTTCTATGACTACATCTTCGAAACTCATAACTTCTTTGTTCGACATTTACAGATTAAGGTATGACTCTAATACCGCTTAATAGAAACAAGTGGATTTTCACAATGGTATGATATTGACCACTTTAAGCATAAGCTCTCGTGGTTTTTCTTTTGGTTTCCCCAAAAGATCTCGGACTAATGAAATAATGTTTTTTACTTATATATATATGAATTACGAAGAAAAATAATGTTTTTGGTTAAACTATTCTACCATTGGGTTCATAACTATTGTATCCACTTCTACCTGATGTTTAGTTTTGAGAACCTTTCATCTTAGTTGAGAAGTCGGTTGTCTCTTGAAGGGACAACGTCGAGAGGTTGTTAAACTGTGTCGGGACAAGAATACGTAAACTTTTGTTGTGTTGATGCTGCATGTAGAGTCATATCACTGTTGTTGCAAACCTAAGATTGAAAAACATACACGAAGACTCCTTTTTGACACTATGTTTCATAACGATGACGTTTTCTTTAAATATAGTGCGTAGATAAATTTTAAAAATTAACTTTAAAGCACTATTTTCTATTATTACTATTTTAATATTGTTGGAAATTTAATTCACCGAGCATTTTTTTAAAAAAATTATTGGAATATAAGCATTCTATAGAAATAATTCAGACGTTATAATCATCATGACATTATATATTAGGGTCTAATTGAGGCTAGATCAGGATTTAGGACGAGGACGGATATGAGGAGCACAATCTCTATCATTGGCTCTGTTTAGCTAATAGGGAGAAATCTTTCTGCACTCTTTCCCTAATCTCTGTTTGAACGAGGATTTTCAATCCTGTTTA